GAGCTACGAACCCTTCAGATTAACCAATCAAAAATGCTGAGTATAAACCTAAATGCTAAGGAGAATAGCAAACCGATCAGCTGAAACGGCAAGAGAAGTAAAAGGTTACTACAAGAGATCCACCGGACATCAAGACTTTTGGGTCGCACGAGGATTTTCCGTCAAAGATGACCCTAGCTGAAGCATTAGAGGATAGACAGGGCTGAACTCTTTGTCACCTCGGGCCCTTACATGCGTGGCATAGTCATCCAGTGTTGCTTTGATACCCTTCCATACCTGATCCTCTCCTTGAGAATCTAGCCACATTGAGTATTGCAGAGGTGTTAGTTTGTTCCTTTGCAGGGGTGATTGCAATTCATCAGGACCTCGGGAGTAAAGATGGTGAAGTACGACGCTTGGTGGTAGATCTTGAAGAAGAGGAGATCCTCCGAGTTGGGAAGTCTCCAAGAAGATAAGAGGTCGAAATGCTCGAAGGGCTCTGTATGGCCCACCAAGTTGCTCTACTGGGAACAAGTTTTGGCCTACAGCTAATTCTAGCTCAGCCATGTCCCTGGCCATCCTTAGTTTCCCTGATTCTGAAAGGGGTCTGACAAGAGAAGCATGTCTGATAAAGAATATTAAAACCCGTGCAGCCATGCTCCTAACAAGCCTAGTGCATATGGTCTCTGTTCCAACCGTGGCAGATTTTGGAGGCAAAAGCCTAGACAGGAACTCACTACGGAAGTGAAGAATGCACTTTTGCAACTCCTCCATGTAAGGTGAAGCATTGTTGTCCATAGCAGCATCCATGCCTAGCACACCAAATCTCTGTTCATGAATTTGCAAGATGCAAGATTCAAGACGCTCAAGCATAGCTTGGAACAAGGACGTCACTGAGTCACTAGCAACCCCGTATATTGCACCTAACGAGGGAGACAGCACATCTGAAGCAATAGTGGGCAGTCCTGTAACCATAGATGATATGCGTGTGTGAATTTCTTGGAGATACTGACATAACATGAAGTTCTTGAGCTGTGCAGGAGTTGCAGGACCATTGACTTGACGTGCTTCAGGACCAGTTGATATCTGCCATTGTGGACATAATAATAGAATGAGAAATTTTGAACAAGGACATACTAATAGAATGAGAAAATTTTGAACACGGACAAAAAATCACTTTTCAAAATCAAAGGGTCAGCATACATTTCTATTATATACGTACGCCCTTCAAATGAGTTCCTATAGATCAATCATAGTTATCGGGCATAACCTTTCAAGAGAACTGGCTATCCTTTAACTTACCAATCTTAATTAGAACGTTGACAATTTTTTGAAAAATAAATCCACAAGAGAGTAAAATTGATTTATATTTCCTCCATAATGATACATGAACTTGACTTTCCATTAGTCGCATTCAATTGCCCTTCTCTAATTAAGATTAAGCCATAAGATTCACAACATATATGTATAACAACAACAAAGAAAAACAAGACAATTGAGCAAGTGAAACAGCTTGGGCAATGAAATAAATAGACATTGAACTTAACTAATAATTTCAGATTATGCAGATACTACAAATGAATGCATTAATTCTATGATTTGTATTTAATGGAAACCATATAATTGAGCTCATTACATCTAGCCTTAGCACCTAAGAAGACTAGGATCATGTGTCTACCTTGGGAATATTATGCAAGAACTAAAAGATTACCCGGTACTCAGCTCGTTCACCAAGTAGGAGAAGAACCTTGCCAATTTCACGCAATACAAGAAGAGTCAAGCGCCCATCCAACTGAACAGATTCAATTTCTTCTTGAATCCGTGATATAATTATTGAGATATGTTCTTTAGAGGGAACACTTCCACGGCTGGACACTGGAAATACAGTATTCACAAGGTCTGACAAGCGACCCAAGCAGAGTCCCAAAAATGATTTTTGGAATATTTCAACAGCTGCAACCAGTTGTTCCTTTCCCTCTGACGTAATAGCCGGTAAAACCCCTTTGACATCTGTGTCGCGTGCAATTCTTTCAAGAAGATTATCTATCATAGAGAAAAGCTTCGGATACCCCATAGTGAAAACCTCTTTAACAAAACTTGATGCAGTGAAAGCGGACTTCATTTGGTTGGCAAATGCCTTCACAAGGGCCTCCCACACTCTGTCTGTTATCATAGGCTCAGCTTCCTAAGCAAGTAACACATAATGTGAGCAAAAGTTATTGCTTTTCGACAGGATGAACAGTAACAATCATTGCCAATATTGTTAGCAATCAAGCAGCAAAGTTATCAGAATTAAATACTAATAGGAAACCTTAATTCAAGTCAGGATAGAACTGCAAGTCAACCATTGCAGAGACAAAAAAAAAATTATGCCGATTTTGTAGGTTACTCATTGGTAATCATACACCGAAAATTAACAATATACTTGTAAACTAAAATACAGAGTAATCGAAACAAACTGTAGCAGTTCATGGGTACATTGTGCACATTGATCGCTAACCTAAGTATAACATAACATTGCTACAGATGATCAGAAAAATGGAAAAAAACCCAACTTCGAGACTAGAAGGCGGTTAATGACTGTTCAGACTTCAGTAAGGCCACTATAAGATGATAAATCTTCTAGGAACTGCGAATTAAGGGATTAAGTATGACCCAATTCCAGTTTCCAATCCAGTAAAATTGTTTTCATTTATCTGTCAACTAATACAGAAATGAGGCTAGTATCATATCTGAGCTAGTACAAGAATACAAAAGCACAAGTAAATTCATACTTTCTATCATTCATACACAATCAAATAGTCAAGCAATTGAAAAGCAAACCCAATTGGACAATCCTCTCACCTGAATAACCTCATCAAGCAGCAATACATGAGTAAACGGGTCACGCTTCTTCGACAACACCCTCTGCAAGTGCCACACCACAACCATTATCGAATGCAGCTGATCCATACAACTCCCCATCCTCTGCCAAATCGCCTCCCTCGCCTTCCCACCACTTCCGATCTGCGGAGTGCCCCCGCCTCCTCTGATCCCACCCGGCCCAAACCCACCTCCTCCCGACCCAGAAATCGCCTTCATATCCAATGCTGCACTCACACTCTTCATCCCCATTCCCTTATACTTGTTAATCAGCTGATCCATCGCCCGTCTCAGCTCTCCCAAATTGTAAAACACCTGCAGACCGGTCCCAACCTCGGCCTGGTTCAAACCCTCCATCCCTCTCTCCAAAACCTTCATCGCCTCCGTACGCAACTTGTCTCCCGTCTCCTTGACCCACTCGAGCTCGGAATCGACCACATCAATGCCGGCGAGGTCGTACTCGTTGTAAAGAGCTAAGATCTCACAATGGAGCTGAGCAGCCTTGGCGAGATCGAGGCGGTCGGGGTCATCGGAGGCGAGGGACCGGAGCTTACTGGAGAGGCGTAGGGCTCTGATGGAGTGGTGGAGAAGATCGGAGGAGGCGTGGAGATTTTGGAGCTGGATGGTGAGGGTGCGGATGGAGGCGAGGGGGTCGGAGAGCTCAGACCGGGTGTGGCGGAGGGAGGACTGCAGGGCAGCAACGGAGGATCGAACGGTGGAAAGGGCGTGATCGGCGTGGTGGAGGGAGGAGAGCTGGGCGAGGAGGTCGGAGTGGCGGGAGAGGACCTCGGAGCGGAGCTGAGACTCGAGGAGGCGGATGGCGAGCTGGAGCTTTTCGGCCGTAGAGGCGGGGGAGCCGGAGGAGAGGGCGGCGGAGGAGAAGGTGGTGGAGGAGAAGGAGGGAGAGAGGAAGACAGAGAAGATTGGGTCTGAGGCGAATGTGTCTAAAGGGGATGTGGTGGCGATGGCGGAGGTGGGGGTTGAGGATTTGAAGGTGGAGAGGCGTTGGAGTGGGGAAGCGGAGGAGGAGGCGGGAGATGAAGAAGAAGCCATTTCGGACCCGAGTCTAGACTGTTACTCTAGTCCCCGCCCTGAGCCCCCCTTGCTTTTGATGCGACTGTTTTTGTCAACGAGAAATGGCAACGAGACTTTCCGTGGCCTTATGAATTTTTGTACAATTTTACAAAGAGTATTATTTTGAAATAGTCTCTTTGCCATTTTTCTTTATCAATACAAGGCTTTTAATCTAAAAAAAAAGTTTAGCACATGCACAAACAAATTTTGTTGCATCCTGTTTTACCAGACGAAAAGATTTGTCATACAAAGTGTTACCTAATAAAACCCTATCGTCGTCTCAACCTCAATGCGATGACTATGTTATAACCTTAAACTTGACATGACGATAGACTTTCGTCCCTTGAACTTTGACACGACGAACACCTTTTATCTTAACTCCACGTGTCGTAAAAAGCCTTATATGAAATTCAGCTTTGCTCAACGAACTAATTTTCCCCGCGAAAACACATTTCTGTAGCAGTGAGTATTGTTATAGTGATTCTAGACTACAGTAGACTTCACTGAGTGTTAGTAGAGAATAATATGACATAATTTTCTCAAAATACATATAAATTGAGGGTTCAAACCCAGATTAGCAAATATATTAACAATAGCATTATCTAGACATACAGAACCGACATCATCCTTAATAAAATGAACCCTATCACTATGAATGCAATCAGATTTGTGTTTCTAAATAGTATTGTTGGGTCTGGTGCATATTATAAGCACTACATCACTCACAAATTATAACATGTAAAATAATAACATTATGTACAATATCATCCTCGTGTTACAAAAATCTATCTATTTCATGAATAGTAGGTTTCATGTAAATTTTTTAAACTAAAACAGAACTCTCGACATCAAAGTGACATGTTTTTCTCTTTGTTAGTAGACCCGATAAACAAACAACCCTGACCTTACCCTGCCCCCACCCGCCCGCACCACCACCACCACCTCCTCCTCCTCCTCCGGATCATCATGATATTAACCTAGCTACTCTAAATTCAACCTTTTTCGAATAATGGGATAACCAACTAGACCGAAAAAATATACAAAGAGCGTTAGATTGGAAAAACAAAACGTATACATTGTTCATATTAAACCATAACAGAGTTTATTTTCAAAATTAAAAAAGCAACTGTTACACAAATGAATTCTCAAGGAACCAGAAACCCTAGCCAGTTACATGCTTTTATGCCCAATTTTTGGCCAAAAAAAAAAAAGCAACAAAAAAACATCAAATTAATACCCCCATTATATCCCAAAAGGTGTAAAAAAAAATATAAAAAAATAAAAAGTGAAAGAAAGGAGTAAGGAGATACAAATTAAGAAATTAATTAACTAATCAGAATAATGAATTATGGAATATAATCAATAGTATAGTAGGTCAGATGTGGCAACCGCAGCAAAGGTAGAAGAAGCAGAGCGTCGAGACCAGAACGACGGCCTCCACGACGGATAGTATCTTGAAGACGACGTCGTCGAGGATGGTGATCTGAAAGTTCACGCGCTTCCATTTGAACACAGAGAATTTCCTTGGCCATAACTCTTTGCTGATCACCTTCTTTAACGACCACGCTGCCTTCTCCTTCTTTGTTGTTGCCGGTGAGCTCTTTTGATCATTTTCCATCTCTGAAACGTTGTCGTAGGGTATGGAGTTGATGATTGCCTGAGAGGAAGAAGTGTGAGGTGGTGGGTATATATAGAGAGAAAGTGGAGAAAGGGTAGTGCTTTAATTGGTTTCTTCATAAACAAAAGAAGGTGGTGCTGGGCCTGCTGGCCGAAGTAATTTCAGGTTTGTGACGAGGCTATTTCTGGAATTTGGTACAAATATTCTAAGGTTTTTGTTTTTTTCAATTTTCAACAAGACAGTTTCAATAAGAATTCAATCATTAACCGTCATATATATGGTCTACAAAATATAGTTCTAGTGGATGGTTTCTTTAACATTACCCGTCACACATAATAACAACATAAAATTTGATTAATCCAATGTTTATTGAGGAGTAAGTTAATTAATTACTTTTTTAATTTCTTATATTAGCAAGAACACAAGTTCAAGAATGTTGGCAACTTTTCATTTGAACTTTTACGTTCTCGTTTGCCGAGTTAATCCATTCACCATGTAAGAAATGTGTTACCTTATTATTTTATTACATTAAACTAGTATATTAAATAAAAATAATAATCAAATTAATCAAATGCGTTTAATAAGCAATTAAAAAAAGATTGAAAATGCTGTCAATTTTGGCAGCAAATGTGAAGTTTGCCAATCTATGTCATAATACATCAAATTTAACTTTTCGATTGAAAAACATTGTTACGGTCTCTTTTTACTAATAATGCTGATCTGGATATTGTAACATCTCTTTTGGAGATGTTTTTAAATTATGCTTGGTTTGCACTTCATGTGATTGGCATCTTCTTAACGAAGTCCACACATTCTCGATGCCTTTTCTTTCTGTAACGGCTCATAAAAAAAGTTTAAAGTTAGACAAAATCGACATATGTGTTGGTTTCATCTAACAACGGTTTGGTAGGGTGTGGTCCATTTCTATAGTTGTTTGTCCAGTTGGTCAAGGTTATCCAACGGCTACTTTCTTTCTTTTTTTTTACTAGGGTATAAGCGCACACTTTGTGGGCGAACAATTTCTTTTTTTTTTTTTGTTTTTTTATTAAGGAGTGTGATTAGTTTTTAAAATTTAAAAAAAAAGTACGAAACAATGATTGTGAGATATCTTAATAAAGGCATATTTTTCTTAATATTACATAATTACCATTTTACTCTTTTTATGTAAATATTGTGTATAAAAAATAAGAGTAAAATAAGAAAAATGGGGATATGATTGTCATTTTGTCAAAAGGTACAAAATTACTATTTTACCCTCCTCATGTCAACATTGTGTATTTAAAAATGAGGGGCAAAAAGTTAACAAACCCTCTTCTCTTAATAATATAGAATATAGATAGATTAGAACTTAGAATTGTTCTTCGACCAACTGTTCAAAGAATATTTACCTAGATCCTATTGAGTGTTCAAATGCCAGGGTCCACTTCACTATACATCCAAAGCTTGTTGACTTTTGTATAACTGAATAGTCTGAAAAATCAACGATTAGATTTAATATATAAGAGTTTAATATATATTTGCAACAGTTAGATCTTGTATAAAACTCGTAGCACTAAGTCATATGTATCATTGTAGTTTAGACTCTTAATTTTGTTTTGTTCTTGCCTACCTTTTTCATTTTAGCTCATATCATTTTAGTTTAAGAGGAATGGAAAAACACGTGAAATAGTATACGATCAAGTGATTTGTGTTTTCAGTACATGTAAAACCTTCTCCTTTACTAAGCTAAAACGCTAAGCAAACTTGGAGAGCTTTTGCCACAATTGATAAGTTTTCCAATTTTCGTGTAAAGTTTTCTTATCAATGCAACATAATATGTTAGATTGTGTCGATTGTGTTTTTTCACACCTTGTGCGGCAACGACTCTTGCAACAAACCGGAATATAATATTACGAGAGCTTTTTTTTTTTTTACTCCCTAAAGTAAGCAAACCTGACAAGAATAAAGGAATTACTAGAACATGAGGGCGGTGTTTGTACAAGATCGCTACACTCCAAGCTTTCTTGCGTTTGAAACAACCAATTGACAACTTCTCCTTTAAACTTAATTTATAACTTTTCTTCGTCTTCTTCTTCGTATAATATTGGAACTTGATTATTTAGATTCTTAGCATAAAGATGAAATCAGAGACACACATGAATGATGCATCCGAGATCTCATTTTACAGATACTATAAATATATATTAGATATTCTTGTACCAAATAGGTTATAGACCCTTCTTTCTCGGATTTGAATTCTCTCCGAACCTTACTGTCCAGATTCTAGGAATCAAGTAATCCGTGCCACACATTTGTACAGAAAAGAAATTGGAGTCGTTGGTTTATATGAGGTGGATCAACGAAATGAATTAATGAGAACTGTCAGATTCATTTTATGTGGCCCAAATTGTTTAATCTTTAGACTTCAGACATTAAGGTCCAGAACGGATCCAAAATCTTCTTTTTCTAGTGTTAGGGGTTGTCCATGATGAGATGAGCACTTTGTGTGGAGGGTCGGTCAATATCCAGATAGACTACAGGAATAATATCTTGGAGGAGACAGCCTCATAATTTGGTAGCGACTTCAACCCTTCTTTTTCTATAAGGGATATCAAGGCTGCAGAGGAATCCTAGTTAGCTGTCTCCAACTGTTCTAAATGAGAGATACTCTTGTGCAACTGGTGATGTTATATAGCAAATATTAATTGGATAATTAGGGAAATATTTGAGAACGTATTAAACATTTAATAAGTTAAGTAACCCAGTAAGGCTATGCATTAGTTTCAAGAGATAATCTCTCGTTCGGTATGAAAAAACAAGTATCTAATTTCCATCCAAAAAGTAAACATTGTTATTCTCAATTCGTATAAAGTTTCAGATTTCAGAACCTCCTCAATTACTTGTAATTTGTTATACTTGGGGAAGTGAAACTGCGCGTTAAGAGAAAGCTTGAAACACTTCAACGAAAATACTTAAAAGGATTAAGATCTGAGGTGATAGGTGCTTAGGGATGTAAACAAGATTGGTTGAATCACTATATCTAAATCGTTTGTATTCTTGTTTGTTTATTTGCTTGGTGGTAACCAACATTCAAGGTGTGTGATGGATCATCGAGCCTTTAAGAGCAACTCCGCTTCTAAAAAAATATGCCAGCATCCAGCCCATTTAATCCACTCAGTGAATAGTGATAGACTTCAATGAACAGTAATAGGTCAAATGCATCTCCACCCCTACAAAATACGCTGGCACCCAGCCTATTTAAAATATTATTAATTTTTTTTATAAAATAATAAATAAAAAATTTGTTTTAATTTCGGATAGGATTTTTAACCAATCTCATTATGTCATGTGTCATTATCATAATAAAATTACATAAACTCATCAAATAAGCTTAAAAAAACATACTAAATAAAATTACATAAACTCATCAAATAAACTTAAAAAAACATACTAAATTAACTAAGAACTTTATTGTTCCACCACAAGATCCTTTTAATTATCTTGACCTTGTTGCAATCCTCATTGGTGCTCAATCAAGTCACTTTGACGGGTACATTGCCAGTATGGCTCTTGCAATGAAGTGTAACGCTCAGCTATCAAGTAAGAACTCAAGATTTGAAAACGATGAAGATGGATGTAGGGATGTAGGGTTTATATGGACAAAAAAAGAAAGGATGAGGTTCTTGGTATTTTTTTTCACACAAAAAGTATATGAAAGCTTTGGTAGAAAGTGTTGAAAATATTGAAATATGGTGTAAGGTGGAAGATGAGTGTGATGACCCATCCCAAATTAAAATATATTTTATCCTTGAACGCGTGGAAATGACGATTTTACCCTCGTGAGCGTTGTGATGTGAATGTTGTATATGGTTTAAATTATTGCCCCGTTGATAAAAAATTATTGATATTTGACTGGTGTCGACGTGAGTTAGTGGCCAAGTTGGATTCATAGTGGAAATATTAGTAAGGAAGAGAGGAAATTGGGTTGGACCCAAAATGCATGAGCTTAGCCATGCAGCCCATTTAGGACTTAGGACAATTTAAAATGCCCAATTACATTGGACACACATACATACACGTGCAACCTTCTTCCCTTCTCTCTCTTTTTCTCGAAAATTCTTTCCGTCCGTACAACCGAGCCTTCAACCTTCAAACACCATCAAAACACCACATATTGAACTTCTAAGGACCACCTTTGGATTCCTTGCAACCCTGTGAGCCCAATCATACCAGTTGTTCAAAGAAAAGACTCCGGGAACTCAAGAACTCACGAGCTCTGGCGGGGTACCCTGTTACTCCAACGTGATCGTGGATCTTTCACAGTATTTTAAAGCTCAAAAAGGGTCCTAAACATTTCTACTAGGATCCTAGGCTAGTTTTGGAGTGGTTAGAACGTCGAAACGCTTAGGTCTGTCAAGTTTCAAGTTTGGCCAGTTGTGTCGAGCTATTTTCCGACTGTTTTCAGTTGGTGTTAGGACTTCAAAGTGGTAAGATCATGTTCTACTCGTCCAGGGCTTCAATTTGATATAATTTTTATGAAATTTGGTTGAAAAATGGTGAAGATATTAAAGTTTAAAGTTTTTCCAAAAACCGATGAGTGCAACGATAGCCGACGCCGAAATATGGCGAACCATCGGAGAAGACAAGGAATATTCTGTCAACTTTGACGGAATATATTAACGGCGTAAGGTAACACCGTTAGTTTTAGATGGTATATGCTGATATTTAACGGAATATTCCCTAACATCGTTAAGGAATTCGTCCGTGTGCCAGGCACGTGCCCACGCGTGGCCTGCGCGTGGGACGTCGGTAAATTATTCTAAAAATATGGGGATGCTCGGGGTGTTGAGTAGGCCACGATAGTATATTCAAACACCTCAATTGAGCAACGTATGAGAAGTTATTTCATAGTGATGGTTATGTGCTTAAAAATAACATTAAATAGTTGTTTCATATATAGGTGAGACGTTTCCAGAGGACGAGCGCAACCAGGCGAGACTTGGGGGTTACAACCTAGCTACATACTAGTGAGTGGGTTTTTGAGTTATATATATATATATATATATATATATATATATTTAAAACGTAAAAACCATTTAAACAGTTTCTGGG